CAGGAGTGGAAGGCCCAAGCATCAGGAGAGAGAAGCCAACCAGCCAGGGTCAGGAGGTGAATCTCTGAAGCACCTCACTGCCCAGGTGGCAAGGAGGAGGCTCCTGGGTGTGGCTGGCAGGGGAGTGCTGGGTTTGAGAGCGTAACTCACCACGATGGCCTCCAGTCCACCATCTATTGCTTTTATAATATGGAGACTCACTTTCTTCTGTAATAAAATCAAAGTGGAGCTTTAGATGACCTCTTTGGTCCTCCACAATTCTAACACTCTGTCTCCAAAATTTTGAACTGCAGCGGGAAAAGGCCAAGTATCTTGCTGAAAAATATTCTGTTGGCCAGTAGGGGGCACTGCATCACTGTGATTGAAAGCCGAATCCTGTCTCCAGCTGGGATGACTAAAATCATGGTTTTGCAAAGTAAAAAGAAAGGACACATCCGAATATTTTGGTTGATTGGCTCTTCCATAAGAGCGCTAGGGTCTTCAGGAAAATAACATTTTAGTAAAAGGCTCCCTTGGGAAACAGTTGAGATCTTGATTATGTAATTGCTCCATTTCAAAAAGCTATTTAAAAAAATCTCAAAAACACTTTGACATAAGTATTTCCATTATATAGCCTTCATGACTAGTCTAAAGAAAAGTGTGATTAATGCATTTCTTTACTCGCCCTTCCCTCAGTGATCGGACAAATGAATTCCTTAGTGCAGAAAAAGCACTCGCTTAGCAGGGCCTTCCAGTGAGATAAATGATGCTCCCTGAAGCCCAGCACACAGGGAGTCTGCTCTTTCCAAGGAAACACTTGGAAACATAGGAACACTCTTTAAAGCTGCCAGCCTTCTAACTTTAGAGAATTCCAGGACTGGGGACCAGCAGTTAGCGTAATGGCTATGTCACTGGACTCTCACATAGTTGACCGCAGTTCGAGTCCCGGACCTGGTGGCTTAAACTCATGCTGGGTGTGTGTGCATGCATGCCCAAGATCCCGAGAGGAGAATGGAGGAGAAGGGATTGCGGCGTGGCCATCCCCCCTGGGGGGTGATTTCTCATTTTCTGTCTCTCTGTCTTTCTCTGTCTGTCTGGCGAGTGCACACGCCCGATAGCAAAAAACCTCTCCAAAAAAAAAAAAAAGAGAATTCCAGGACTGGAGGGGAAACAAGACGAAACAAAACAAAAACAGAAGCAGTGCTTTTGTTATAAAGAAATAAATAATGGGGCCGACAGTGGTTAAGCTCTATACATTCAGAGCCAGATCCCACATAGTATAGTGGTTTGAACCTTGGGCACGTGTGTGTGTGTGTGCCCCAATTCCCAACATGGTTTAGAAATGAAGGCAACAGGATTGTGGCATGACCACACCCCAAGTGGAAGATGCTTTCTCTGTCCCTCAGCACACCTGTTCTCTGGAAATTAAGAGTAACAAGGAGGGACCAGCAGTTAGTGTAATGACTATGTCACTGGACTCCCATGTAGTCAACCATGGTTCGCGTCCCAGACCTGGTGGCTTAAACTCACACCGGGCACATGTGCGTGCATGCACAAGATTCCGAGAGGAGAATGAAGGAGAAGGGATTGCAGTGTGGCCATCCACCCTGGGTAGTGATTTCTTGCTTTCTGTCTTTGGTGTTTTTGTTGCGAGCGCCCACCCCCTATTAAAAAAAAAAAAAAAGACTTCTCAAAAAAAAAAAAAAGAGTAGCAAGGAAAACATAAAAGGGAAAAAAAGAGGAGCAACCAATGAACATGATTACCTTGGGACGATGGACAGAGATGGCAGTAAAACCTGTATTTTACAGAACTTCTTTTAGGGACATCCCACTACTTTAAAACCTGTCTTTTACAGAGGAGACTAACCAAGGCAGTAGCTAATGGGATCTCATGAGCCCGACAGCCTGAGTCCAAGTCCCCAGCTCGGACACCTGCCAGTGGTTCATTTCCGGGCCTGTGACCTAATCCCTCTCCGCCAGCCTCGCAGGGTTGCTGCCATTAACGTAGCTAATACACACAATGGCCGCACAGTCCAGTGTTCGAGGAGTACTAACTGGCCCACGCTGAGTGCTGGCACCGTTCTAAATGCCGGTGCCTTGACTCAGTGAGCCCTCAGCACCCTTTCACTCTGCGATGTTACAATCCTCTTTTATAGACGAGGAGACCAAAGCGCAGAGAGGTGAAGCCATCCGCCATCTTGCTTTAGGCTGGTGAGCAAAAAGATTCTGTCTGTCTAACCTAATGTGGCACAATAGTGTTTTTTAAAAGACCCTTGGAAACTGGATTAAAAACAACAATTTGGGAAGGACCAGCAGATGGTGTAATGGTTATGTTGCTGGACTCCCACATGGGCAACCACGGTTCGAGTCCTGGACCCAGTGGCTTGAAACACACCAGGCATGTGTGGATGGGTGCCCAAAATCCTGAGAGGAAAATGGAGCAGGGATTGTGGTGTGACCAACCCCCCTGGGGGGTGATTTTTCGCTTTCTGACTCTCTGTCTCTCCAGCAAATGCACGTGCCCGATAGCAAAAATCTTTCCAAAATAAATAAATAAGTAATTGTTTCTCCAGCCTTTCCTGACATGATGTCACCGGACCTGGGAAAAGGCAAACCTTAGAGGCATGACTTTATCCATTTCTTGAGCTCCTTCCTCATGCTCAGCCCTGGAGGGCAAGAGGCTTCTAGAATTCTCTCCTAAGATCACTCCGAGGAGGCGAAGTCAGTGGCTAGCGATGGCGTCGGCTGGTCTTTGCCATCTGAGGCAGTTCTGACAGCACCATGTCGGAGGGGCTGTGGTGGAGGTGACTTACCCCCGAGCGTCTCGTCCTTGCTGCGGTAGGTGCGGTAGAACAACACGATCTCAATCCAGTACCAGTAGAGGAGAGCGCTCCCTGCCAGCACGCTCGCCAGGCCTGCGACGGTGCCCAGCAGGATGAACAGCAGCACCACTGCGGAAACAGGCCGTGAGCCATCACAGAGCAGCCGCCCTGGACAGGACCCGCTCAGGCCCGCGCCCGGCTCGCCCAGCGCCTCCCTGACCCCCCATGTCACTGGTCACTGACCCTGGAGGCACTTTTCTCCAATCTGGGAACATCTCGAATTTGTCTCGAGGACATTTGATGATAAACTCCAGGAAATGGACGTTTCCTGATCAGGGTGGCCTGGGCAACTTACCGTAGTCATGTACTGCGCTTTTTATTGCATAAACTTCCTACAATCCACTCGCACCCCCGCTCTTCGTATGCTGCAAATGATTTTTATTACTCTTATCCCGACTAAAGTTTAAACTTCCCGAGACCCAGTGCAACCTCTACACCCTCCATGAAACCCAACGCGCAGGACCTGCTCCACGCCTTTACTGAGGGGAGCCACCACCACGGAGCGTCTGCGATTGGCAAGGCCCAGCTATGACTCGGTTAAGCCTCACAGGCAATCCGACCTCTGGGTGCCGTAGTCCTCTAGTGACTGGACGGATGAATGATCAACTTCATCTCTGGGCCTCTTAAAAGCCATCCCTCACCTTGAATTTCTACTCTAGCTTTTTAAAAAAGTAAGATCCATAACATACACAGGTCAGTCTGACTACTGAGTAAATGAACCCTTCTCTTCTCTGTCCTCCAGCCTACAGAACATGACTCCATGCTCTCTGGATGGAGAAACTGAGAAAGAGAAACAGGAAAAGGAGCTAGGGCTTAGCACAGTGCCTGCTTCCAAGGGCCTGCCCTGTAGGTATTTGTAGAATGAGTGAGTGAGTGAATGAACAAATAAGCGAGTGAATGAATGAATGAACAAATCGATAAGTTAATGAGTGAGTGAGTGAACAAGTCAGTAAATTAACGAATGAGTGAATGACAAACTTTCCAGCATAGTCCTCCCTACCCAGAGGCCCAGCTAGGGGTCACTGTCGTACAGTTTACTAGCGATGGGGCTTTGGTCAAGGCATTAAATGCGTTAACACAAGGAAAGTGACAGGAAGAGTGGCATCTAGAAAATGCCCACTGCTCTTGCCATCATTGCCGTTCTTCAGGAAAGCTCGTCTCGGCTCACGCGAAAGCAGTGACTTCATCCTGGAGCGACTTGGAAGACTTACCTCCCTTCTTCAGTGTCAGCTGGATGGACCGGGTGGTGTTCCCGATGGAGTTCTGTGCAAAGCAAACAAACTTGCTGCGAAGATGGGTCTGCGTCACTTTCTCCAGTGGGAACGCCAGCTGAACGATGTCACCGTCAGGCGTGGATTTAATGCTAGGGAAGGAGGACACCACGCTGACTCAGTACCGTCAGCTGGCATTTCTTTGGAATAGCTGGGAGTCACAGGAGCAGCCAGCTGTGTGGCCATCAGAAGAGCAGTGGGGTCAACAACACAAGGTGCGATGGGCCCGTCCACGGCCTAGTTTTCAAGGGAACTAGACCCTACATGCTCAACTGCAATGCAAATTCCAGCCCCGCTGGCTTGAGACACACGCCACACGTGTATGTGTACATCCCCTCATCCCATGCATGCATCTGTACATGTGAGCATACACCTCAAAATGGAGAAACGGAGAAGGGATTGCGGCATAACCGGTTCCCTGTGGGAGGGGGCGTTTTCTTCCTCTCCTCTCTGTGTGCTTCCGGTGAGCCCGGTGAGCCCGTGTGCCCTCTGACAGTAAAACAAGGTGCCAGTGGGAGGTAAGATGGTCAGAGAGGGCTCCCTCATAGTTAAATGCTGATCCTGCTAAGTGTTTCCACTAAGATGCGATTAGCTTGTGGGACTCACCTGACCTTGAGAACAAACAATAGTCATTTAAGAAAGATACTTAAAATGACTAGCTCCTACTAAGGTTCTCTGTGTGCCAGGCGTTCTTCTGAGCCCTGGGCACGACTCTCTAATCTCACCCATTTCTCACCTGCCAGGATCCCTGCAAAGTAGCGATATGGTTGTCCTAACCCGGCCAGTGGCACAGGGGCCTGAGCGGCCTTCCTTCCATGGCGCTCACAGAAACTGCATGTGGTTTCCACGTTCAAAATTAACAGGCAGGGAACCAGCAGTTAGCGTAATGGCTATGTCGCTGGACTCCCACGTAGTTGACCGCGGTTCGTGTCCCGGACCCGGTGGCTTAAAACTCACGCCGGGCGCGTGTGCGTGCGTGCCCAAGATCCCGAGAGGAGAATGGAGGAGAAGGGATTGCGGCGTGACCATTCCCCTTGGGGGGTGATTTCTCGCTTTCTGTCTCTATGTCTCTCTCTGTCTATCTGGCGAGCGCACGCGCCCTACAGTGAAAATCTCTCCAAAAAAAAAAAAATTAACAGGCACAGTGCAGGGCTGTACTTTCATTAACCACTAGGTGGTGCTACTAGCTACACCTTCAGCTCTCAGTTTTCTGAAGATGAGAAGTACCTGGTCTGCGTCGCGCAGAAGCCTCTGCCCTTTTCTTCTTACCTTTTTCCCTTAGGTAGTGTGACTTCCCGCTCCAGGTCAGAATCTTTGATGTACCATTTTAATACAGGTTGAAAGTTCTTTTCAAAGCCAAATCGTGCTGTGCAGTTAAGAGTGAGAGGTTTTCCTGCAAAGAGGCCAGAGAAGCACGAGGGCAGGTGAGGATGTTTGTCCCAGGTGGGGGAGGAAGACATGACCAAAGATGGCTGTTTCCTGATGTAGTCAGGGTGCAGATAAAACCGGAGTGTCAGGAACAACCACCCTCCGCACATTGCATTCAGAGACACACCAGCGATTTCTGTCTGCCTCTAACGGGCTTACATCACACACTTACATCACAAACCCGTATGTTCTTAAAATGAAGATAGCGTGATCATACCACTAAGGGGCCTGCCCCACAGCACGGCGGTTAAGCGTGCCAGATTCTGTACAGCCAATGCGAGGTTGAATCCCAGCCCTGCCCTGGAAGCTTGACAGACATTCTAGGCAGGACCAGCAGATGGCATAACGGTCACGTTGCTGGACTCCCACATAGTCAACTGCGGTTCAAGTCCCGGACCCAGCGGCTTAAAACTCATGCTGGGCACATGTGTGTGCATGCCCAACATCCAGAGAGGAGAACAGAGGAAAACAAATTGCAGTGTGGCCACTAACCAAAATTTGCATATTAAATGAAAATCATGAGGGGACGGGAGCATGTAGTTTAATGAAGAAATTATTTTGATACATAGCTTTTTTTCTCAAGAAGCAGAGTGAATAAGTTTCCATGTGATTATTAGACTACCCTTTTTCTATTCATTGTCTCCATAAGGGATATCCAGGTATGCTCTACGTCAAGCTTAATGTTACCTGTGAAATTTAGAAACTCTCAGAGAAAACTCTTCTTAATGTTTTTCCATCAGTAATGCCTTAGAATTCACTACTAGCTGATGAAACTTGACTATTTTGAACTGATTTTTTTCTTTACTTTGTTCCTTTTTCTTTCCATTTTTGTGATGTTGCCCTTAGTGCCGTTCTAGTTCTAAACTCAAGATATGCTGCTTCTGCCACCTAGTGCTCTTCTACCAAAATATCTACTTTTACGTCTTTCCACAATAATTCATCTTTCATTAGCATTTACAAAAGCACTTATATTATTGAAGCAACCAACATTTGTTTTTCTTTGGGTGTGTGAGTGTGTGTGTGTGTGTGTGTGTGTGTGTGTATGTGTTTAAGAGAGATTTTTGCTATAGGGCTCAGACACTCAACCAGAGAGGTGGAGAGAAACAGAGACAGAAAGCAAGAAATCACCCCCCAGGGGGAAGGTCACTCTACAATCCCTTCTCCTTCATTCTTCTCTCCAGATTTCAGGCACGTATTCATACACGTCCAACATGAGTTTTTTTTTTTTCTTAAGAGAGGTTTTTTTTTGTTATAGGGCATATGCCAGAGAGACAGAGAGAGACAGAGAAACAGAAAGCAAGAAATCACCCCCCCACACACCCCGGGAGGATGGCCATGCCATAATCCCTTCTCCATCTTCCTCTTGAGACTTTGGGCCTGCATGCACACACACCCGGCATAAGTTTTAAACCACCAGGTCCAGGACTCAAACTGCAGTTGATTACGTGGGAGTCCAACAACGTAACCATTATACCATCTGCTGCCCCCCAACATTTGGTTTGGAATACAGTAATTCCTATTTGGCTGTGTAGAAAGACATAGATGTTATTGAATTCAAAATGAAGAGACTATAGACAAGCCCATTTTCCCTCTACTCTAAGGCAGATACTGCATGGGCAGATACTACACTGTTTGCGTGGGCGTGACAGATTCTACTGCAGTTGTTGTAAAGGCCACACCAAACATCATGCTCATAAAGAGCTAGTGCTGCTCGAGTTGGAGCACTTACGCACATAACCAACAGGCTGGGCCAATACACCACCTGATTCCTGCGGGGTGAGGGAAAACCTAAAATCTGCTGCCTGTGTTCACTGTCCCGCTATTTCTCAATGCAACCACGTGGGGGCAGCTTTAGAATGCCATTTACCGATGAAGAGATCGAGGCTTGGAAAGTTGAAATAACTGTCGCGAGGTGACAAGGCTTGTTAAGTCAGGATTCACACGCAGTTCTAGAAGACCTGAAAGCCCACCCGTATGTCACACTTACACCTGCTCTCAGAAGTAGTGTCATTCAGGGTGACAGTGCAGGCCAGCTTACCAAGTTCCACTTCCAGCGTGTCCTTAACGGAAAAGATGAAAATACAAATCATTATTCACATTGGGAAACAGAAGGTCTGCTTGCCAAAGATTTGGGGGTGGATGGTCACACTTGGCCTAAAAGGTTTGAAACTCCCTCTTCAGATTTCATCCATAATCCATGAGTCTAGGAACTCCATGTGAAAAGTGTGCCTCCAAAAGTGTCTGTGACCTCCAGCAGCAGGTGCTAGCAAGACATTAGTCCCTTGTCTGCCTGGGTACACTCTCTTCCACTCCGAACCTGCTCCCCCATTGCAGTTGTGCATCCTCATCCCCGTCTTCTCCTACAAGATTTCCAACGGGAAGGAGAGCTCACCCAAGAAACTACAAGTTTGGCAGACCTTACTCTCCTGTTTAAGGTTTGTTTCAAATGAAAGAGCCCAGACTTTATTGAACCCTATAATCCTTCAAGTGCTGCGACAAACTTTCAAACATGCATCACTATCATATTTCCTCCTGAAGGGGTTTCATCTCCTGATATAAGACAATGTATGCCCTTTGCTCTCGAAATCATCCACACACAGCTTCCCAGAGACCTCCTGCCCTCCTCCTCCCCATCTCTCTTCTGGCATCGTGAGCATCTCCTCTGTCTAGGGGCTTGTTCTTGTCCTCACCTACCCAGGCTCAGTCTCTGAATCACCTCACATCTCTGCCTCTCTCTCCCTCTCCTCCCTTCCCAGCCAAGTGCTCGAGAGAGTTCTATGTCTCATTTTCTCCATCACCCCTGCGAGTCCGATTTCTGGCCCCACTATGCCACTGAAACAGCACAGTGTCTTGTACCTCGACTGCTACAGAACGGAATTATTTTTTTCAGTTTCTTTTTTTTATGAGAGTGAGAGGCGGAAAGAGAAAGAGCACTTTCAACAAGGTCTCGTACCATGTTCCACCTCCCGCCCCAGCCTCCCCAGCCGGCCAGGATTCTGGTGGGTAAAGGCCTGGCATGTACAGGTCAACCTGAGAACAGACCCATGCTCTTCCACATGCACCCAGCATCGCTTGAACATCATGTTAGCACCGCACTACCGAGCCAGCCCCTCCGTTGAGTTTTTAGTGGACTTTACCACTTAGCAGCACTGGACACTGTCTACCTCGCCCTCCGTGAAATTCTCTGCTTTTGGTTCCACGCTCCTGTACTGCCCTGCTCACCGTTACCCACTCTGTGCACCTCTGTGCCCTGTGGATGACCCTTCCTTCATGTTCTGTCTTCTCCTACCTGCTCTCCCTGGGCTGTACAGTCACTCTCAGGCCACTTCCCTGTGAAAGGCCTTGGCCCCCGAAATTCTCGCTCTCCGGCATCATCAATCTCACTTCCTCTGCTCTCTTCTCCCCACCCTTTCATCAACGCCCACTTGCCAGTGTATGTTCTCACATTCCTGTCTCATCTCCCTGGGAGATCTTGCTCCTCTTCTCCACCTCTCAAGTCCTAGGACACTCCGGGGCTGAGTTCTAGCGCCCCCTTCTCTCAACACCCACTTCTTAGGGAGCTCACTGGGTTCCTTGGCTTTAGAGACCCTGTAAAAGTGGATCTGCTCACATTCTCATCGCCAGCCTCAGCGTCTCTGGATTGATTTATCCAAATAGCTACCAGTCATTGTGATGTGGATGACTAAAAGTCTTTCTAGCCTAGTTAGTCTCATGGAATGGCACTGCCACTTGTCAGCTAATCTAGATGAGGAAACTAAACATCCTTGACTTCTGTCTTCTGTTTTCTACATTACACCCATCAGCATCTTCTGTTGACTCACAAATCCAGCTGCTTCTTGTCACCTTGGCTATGTCCAGTCACAGGACAATCATAGATCTTTAGGAACATGAACCAAACCTGCTGCTCCCTTCCCTGTGACCTGAGTCAGACTCTGTGCTGAGATACTTCATTAGCATCGTGCAAAGTCCACCTCCTTGCCCAACGTAAAATCTGGCTCTCATCCTTGGCTTGTCCTCTCACCACTCCCAGTCATCATATCCTTGCAGATGTTCTTCCTGAATGTTTCTGAGTCCAACCACTTCTCTTCACATCCACTGCCACTCCCTACTCTGGGACCCTATCCACAATTGCCTGTTTGACCACAGAAACCTCATAACTCTTCTTCTTGTCTTGACTCTTGCTCTTATGAATCCATTTCTACTCAGGAGACAGAGTGACCTATTGCAAATACAAATCTGCTTATGACACTCTCCCACTTAGAACCCTCCATGGTTCCCTGTTGTTCCTTGGCTAAAACTCCAAACTTACTAGGACAGTGCAATGGCAGCCTTATTTCCAGACCCTCAACTGACCTTCCTTTCATCCCGAGACCATGACTTGCTCTCTTTCATCACCTGGACATCAATACTGCTTCCTCTGCCTGAGACAGTATCTCTCCCACCTTCTTAGGAGACGTGTTTATCCCTCAGTTCTTTCTCAAACTTGGCTAATGAAGGTTTGGGTTTGGTGGACCTCCCATGTACTCTGCCCACTTTCTCTTATTGTGCTTGGTGAAAGCCTGGTTCCTCTCTGTATGCCCCCTTTCAGAGGCCAGAGAAAGTGTCCATAGTCATTCTTACATCCTGAGCTTCAGTCATGGCACATATGTTCAATAAGTATTAGTGTAGACAAAGATAAATGTAAGACTGAATGAATAAATGAGCAAGATAGGAATAAGATCAACATTGTAAAGTGTCCCTTGGGAAAAGAGAAATGAATTTTATGTCACCAAAAATTCGCTGAGTCAAGCGATGCCTGAGTGAAAGAGCAACTGCACATCACTAGAAAGGGAAAGCTGGTGTGAGTTGAGTATTCCGATTCTGACTTCTCTTCCAAGGAGAAATCCAACACAAAATGAAGTGACTGAGACTCTAAAGCAGTAGACAATGCGAGAGCTGGAAATAGGCAGGAAAGTTAAACCGGGCCTTAGGGTGCTCCACAGGGGTTGTATCTTGTAATGAAAGAAAAGGAAGCACAATTGATTACCATCTTTACTAAGAGCTGAGTCAACCACTCTGTAGCTCTTCGATACCAAGCATGACTGACTCTGTTATGTTTTGACTCCATAGGCCACACTTCGTTAATTCACATGGTTTAGTCACGTGATACATGTAGATCTGTAGTAAGATGGACTCAAGGGGAAGGGTGGGGCAAAATTAGATGAGTCTCAGAAGGAGAAAGCCAGCAGGTCAGTAAACAAGTATCAAAACTCTCAACTTCATTGTTAGGAAAGTGTGAAGTGGGAGCAAACAGACCAACAAAAAGAAATCTCACTTGATACCAATCAAAAAGTCTGTAACACCAAATGCTATTTGGGAATAATAAGACTGTTTTAATGGGGCTAGGTATAAATTGATAAGATAATAGCTTAGTATAATACCAAGTGTTACAACAGGACATCTCTTTTTTCATTCTCTCTCTCTTTGGCTAGAAAGTATGTTTTCTTATCAGAGAGAGACATAGAGACAGACAGAAGGAGAGGAGCAATGATCCCCCCATGGGAGAATGCCATGTTGTAATCCCTTCTCCATTTCACCACCCTGTCAGGATGGGCATTCGCATGCTTGTGACCTGTGTGTTTCTGGTTACTGGGTGTGGAAGTAGGATCACATAGTTGGCCATGTGGAATCCAGTCAGTTTAGCTACCAGGTCACAAAGCAAGCCTGGACACAAATCACATTTCAGAGCACAAAACAACATTCTGTGGCATTGATTGATATATACATATGTTAAAAAAAAAGCTCCAGTACATAAGCAGAGATCGTGACTAAGGTGGCACTGGAAGGCATATGGAGGGGATGTGAGCATAGACTTCAAGCTGTATCTGCAATATTTTGTCTCTTTAAAGAAAAAGGAAGATTTTTAAGCATGTGGAAAATGCTAACACATGTTGAAGCAGCTGATAGGTACATGGAGGTCATTTATTATGGAGGGAATTCAAATTGTTTTTGGAAAAAATGGAATTAGAAAGATGCAAAAAAAAAAAAAAAGAAAGAAAATGTGTGCATTTTTTTCTTTAAGTTTTTTGCCATAGAGTGAGTGCACTGGCCAGAGGAGACAGAGGGAAAGCAAGAAATCACACCCCCAGGGGACATGGCCATCCCACAATCCCTTCTTGTCCATTCTCCCCTTGGAATTTTGGGCACACATCCACACACGCCCAGTGTGGCTGTTCATGCCACCAGGTCCAGGGCTCGAACTGTGGTTGGCCATGTGGAAGTGCAGCGCCTCAACCACAGTGCCACCTGCTGGCCCGGAAATGCATGTACATTTTTTCATAGTAGTCATTTATCATGAACTTTTTGAAAACTTCATCATATTTCTGTGTGTGTGTGTGTGTGTAAAACAGTTAATATATTTTTAATTTATTATAAAAGAAAACAATCTAACTTGTGACAACTTGAACATGGTCCAGAGCAAAGCCTGCCTTCCTCAGGAGACGGAATCTCGGTTGATGGGGAAATTGCTGCGTACCCAGGTTCAAGGCTTCTACTAGTTTATAGCTATTTCTTTTCTTTTTTTTTCCCCTAAAAGGACAATCATTACAAATACAAACGAAGATACTTTTAATTGACCAATCGGGGTTCAAATCCCATCCTAAACCCCAAATCTCACTTACCAATGGCTCTTACTTGAACCACAGCTCTGACGGTCCACGTGCTTGCATTATCCGACCGAGTGTGGTCACACACGTAGGTGCCCTCGTCACACTTGAACACTTCGTCCACTAGGATTGGGCTGCTCCTCTTGTCAGAGAGGAGTTTTCCATCCTAATCCAAAAGACAAAAATTCTAAAATTTTCTCGAGTCAGAGAAATGTTATTCATGTTAATCCGACCTATGTAGGGAAATGGTGAATCTGAGCCAGTCATTTTGAGATTAAAGGCAGGAACAAGCTAGGCATCGGTATCAACAACTATATTAACCAAATTTCTTATTTGAAACAAGAGGCGTTTCCAATGTGATCTCATTACATGAGGAGATGACAGAACCAAACCCAATGAAACCACAGGAGCTGCCAACCTAGTATGGTCCATAATGACTCAGGTCCTGAGAGCATTCTTGAAAACACGCCGTGTTCTAGGGACTGACACCCAAATGAATTTTAAGAAGGAAGTATATGTGTTTATGAACACATGTATGTATGTGTGTGCACACAGGGGTCTTCAAGAACTTTGTGACCGTGGATATCATGAAAAAACTATACATAAAGATACATTTCTTTGCTCATATTTTAATTAATAAGCTCATACTTTAATTCCATTTTACACTAATTTTTCAAAGTCCACTTCCATGTACACACATACACATATGGGCCATAGGCCACAGGTGTTTCGTATGTGTGTGTACACATATATGTTTTTCTGGAGATTGACATAGATTTTCCCTGCATGAGGGTAATCTATTAAATTTCCTCTCTACATAAATCTAACTCTAATAAAGTAATTAACCTTAACTAAAATATTAAGCAAATAAACAGGTGCACATACATTTTACAAGATATTTACAGAAATAATGATTTAACTCATAGTAGATTACAAGTCAAGTAAAAACTAAAATGAGATCAATAACTCGTATCTCCCTTAAAATCCATGAGTGGCCTCCCTCTGTCTCTAAGGTAAAGTATAACATTCTTCACAATCTGCTCGCACTTTCCCTCTCGGTCTTATTTCCTGTGGCTGTTCCTCTCCCTTCTCGCTACTCCGTGGATCACCATGTTTCTCCCCACATTTGCACGTCTCCCACCACTTGACTCCCTACTGCACAGGCTGCTGCTCCATCTCTAAGTACAACACAAGAGGAAGCTTCTGTGGACATGAGTCGCCATGCACACTCGGCAACATGGGTCGCACCCCACTCCCTGGGAACTGAACACAACCACCGTGATCCTGTATGGTCCCTCTGTGGTGGTGACGTGTTCAAGTATCTCCTTCTCCGTAATTATTGAGAGTGGACTTTGTGCAAAGACACATCCTGGGCACACTTGGAGGAGGAAGCATGGGTCCCTTTTCTCAGCAAGCTCTCCGTCTAAGAACGCAGGAGCGAGACGTGGTGTACCACCACACACGAGAGCTCAGTGACACATGGCAGCCCGTGATGAGCCCCTGTCACACGATAAAGGGAGGCTCCCTCAAGTCCAATCAGAACCCTGAAGAACACGTAGAATTCTGTTGCAGGTAAATGGCATTTAAACACAGGTGGAAACAAAGTGTGTATATGAGAAACAATGCCAAGGTGAGAAGGCTGATGAACATGGACGTGTCTGAGCTCTGTGTTTCCTGCATGTAGGAAACAGGGACAGCAATGGTAAGCTCTTTGTAAATGATCAGTGGAGAAATACGTGTGTGACTGAAAGAAAGGTTTTCAAACAGGAAAGTCATACGGCCAAGCATTTTTAGAAAAATGACTGGCAATGATTGTTAGGTATGGAAACTCTCCTCTGTTTAAGCAAAGAGTATCATAACCACCTTGGTCTCACCAGGGGCTAGGTCATGGTAGGGGCCCAGTAAACATTTGCTGAATGATTATCATTTCATCAATAATTCTCCAGCCTCTAACCTCCACATGTAATAATGTTTCTATGGCACATTGCCATCCAATTTCTAACCAGGAGCATATCTCTTATCACTGTGGTTGAAAGAAAAGAGGTAAACAATCAAAATAATATAATAAAGAAAGCACGTTACCTGTCTAGGTCACAGAATTTTTTCAGATATACTGTTGCAGCTGTCTGTTCAAAGGTTTCTCTGACTTGGTTTGGATAGATTCTATTTCTTCCATCTTATAGATGAGAAAATAGATGTTCTGGAGTTTCAGTGGGTTTTCTCTATTTGACAAACTTGGTAACTGAGAGGTCTGAAAATCAGCCTAATTTTCTGCATCTGAGTTTCATGTTCTGACTGAGGAACTTTCCTTCTACTTTGCCTGTTGATGGATAGAGGCAGGGGTTCCCCTACTCCAAGTGTGGTTCCTGTGAGCTAAGGAAAGGTTTCCTGGAGGTGGGCAAGGGGTCTAGGGAAGGACCAGACCTGCCAGCGAGTGGCAGCTGCGGAAAGGAGAAAAACCAGACCAGGAGGTGGGGACATATGCAGGTAAGTATTGACTAGGAGACCTCAAGGATCAATCACATTTCAAAAGGAGGTTTAAGAGCACAGGGAAAAGTCCAATGTAAAACTTTAGAGAACATGATAATAACAGAATTTAGAGGGGAGGTGTGTAGGAAATCACATGAGAAAGCAATGGCAAGGGAATTCGAGCTGTCCGTGAGATCCCAGCTGATGTCATAATTCCACGAGGACAATGGGGAATAGCAAAGTGGATCTGATCTATTTTTTCCCATAAAAAGCTAAGTATGGCTTGGCAAGGGTCAGAAAGACTTTGTAAGACAGAACTGAAAGGAAACGTCAAAGAAAAGAAATTAGGGAGAAGTGATTTATGCCGAGGATAATGGGAAACTGGTTTAAATAACACAATCCTGACTGGATCCTAGTAGAAAAGAGAGGTTGATGTGGATGCACAGTGACCTCTTTTTCACTCCGATGGGAAACAGTCATGAACAAACGTGGGACAAGGACCAGCAGCCAGAGTGACTCGACAGGAATGCAGTCAGTGAGTCCTAGAAAGAACTGAGGCATGTGAACCAAGCTGATAAAACTATATAAAGGACTTTGAGGGAACAGCAGTTGGCATAATGGCTATGTCACTGGACTCCCATGTAGTCACTGTGGTTCGAGTCCCAGACCTGGTGGCTTAAACTCATGCCGGGCACCAGTGCGTGCATGCCCAAGATCCTGAGAGGAGAATGGAGGAGAGGGGATTGCGGTGAGGCCATCCCCCCTGGGGGGTGATTTCTTGCTTTCTGCATCTCTGTCTTTCTGCTGAGCACACGTACTCTGTAGCAAAAACCTCTCAAACAAGCAAACAAAAAAAGGACTTTGAAAGGTATGTACAAAGCAAGAAGACAAAGTTATTCTTACTATTAGGTAAAAACTACTTACTATCAATAGCTATTATTATATGTTAAAGGGTATAACTATCCACTAGTTAAAAAAATTAATTTATATATATATAGTTATGTAATATTAGCTAATATCATTACAGTCATAAACATTTACTACTAATATAATTATACGATCAATTAATATTGATTAATTAATGTCACAATAACAATATACTAGTTACTACTCATATACATTAATGTTATATGCTAACTACTAGTTAAATATGATATAATATTAATATGTAACAAGCAACTAGTATATTATCAAGATCTCATTCCACCAAGCAGCACAGCGACTCCAAAGAGCATGTGCATATTGTATTATCCTATGGAAATAATGCTCTCTGGGATTGAGCAACTCTGGGCTGTCTCGTAGGGTTTCCACTATGCAGCCTGGGTTCACTCCCACGATCTACGTTTCTAGCCTGATAGGCTTCAGATTCTCATGATCTCTTTCATGTTCTCCACCATGAATTCTTGTGTCCAGATCTATGCACTACCTCTCCCACACCCCTACTTGAAATAACTTTGACTTTCTGTCATTTTATATATGCACTGAGTATGTTCTGAGCCAGAAAGACCAATATTACAATCTCTGCCTTAGCCTATTACTGCATTGCTTACAGACATACCTGAAACTGGGTGAATTGATAAAGAAGTAGAGGTTCATTCTTCCCACAGTGTAGAGGCCCAGAGCCCAGGGGCCAGCTTCTAGAGAGGCTGTAGCATGGCAGAGGGCAGGGTCTTGAGCAGAACCCCTGTCTATAGTTTCTCCTTGTTCTGGTCTCTCTCCTGTCCTCATAGACCACTAGAACTCAATCACAGTGGCCCTGCCCTGATGACCTTCTCACCCCCATGCTGGCAGGCCATGAAGGAATTGGATTTTCACTTAGCACCTCTGCAATACAACCAAGTCTCAGCACATGGACTTTTGGGGGACATCGAATCACTACTTACTAAGACCAAATTCTAAATCATGAACCTTTGGAAAATAAATCATTATACAAACTATAACATTACCTTTAACAAAAATCAAAGCTTTTACTGTGTTAATTTTTATTAACAGTCAATAGATGGATTACGCTGGAGCCAACAACTGAGAACTCTGTCCTTGGTGCTCGCCTGCCCTGCATTTCTCTAGGGGCGTGAATGAGCACATACTGTACATGCTTCACTCATCTGCAGCTTCCCGAATCTGGGAGCACGGACTGCTTTGTTGGATTTTAAAATCAGAATTGTAATCGCTCAACATGTAGAATGATGAACTAAAATGCAAAAATTATAATTTAACAGGAAAAGTTCGGGACCAGGCAGTGGTACTGCAGTAAAATGTAATGTTCTGCAAGGCAGGTCCTTGTGAGAAGATTCTGGGCTTATGTCTGGAGACCTCCCTTAGTACACCCAGCATGCATGTTCCCAGGATCTGAATGGAGAGTTGACTGAAGCTAGAGGCCAATCAAGACCCTGCTGGGGATGCTCGGTCTCTCTCTCTCTCTCCCTATATATATATATATATATATTTCTTATACATGGAAGAAATAAATAAACTTCAAGAAAATAATTTAAAAGGACTAAATCATGACCATGGGTTACAAATTCTACTGTACTGGCACAAAAGAATGAATAAATACAGAAAATGAGCTCGATTACAGTTTTGATGCAAAACACTCACTTGCCAAGTTATAATGAAACAGCTATGTTATGTGGCTATCCCAAAGCTAAAACAACTGTAGGCTGTATCAATATCCTATCCACACAAGCAAAAAAAAAA